ACCCGAAAAAAGTAGAAGCTGTTTAAAAATTTCCACTACCCAAAAATGTAAAAAATATAAAACAATTTTTAGGACTAGCAGGATATTATCGTAAATTTATAGACGGTTTTTCAAAAATAGCAAATCCTTTGAATCAACTTTTAAGAAAAGATGTACCCTTTTTTTGGACTGATAAACAACAAATAGCTTTCGATACGCTAAAGAATAAACTCTGTGAGGAACCGCTATTAAAAAGACCAGACTTCTCACAACCATTTATACTTACAACGGATGCTTCAGGTTTTGCAATAGGAGGTATATTATCACAAGGTATAATCGGCAAGGATCAACCAGTCGCTTATACATCACGAACATTAAGCGAATGTGAAAGAAAATATGACACCTATGAAAAGGAAGCATTAGCAATCATTTACAGTGTGCAACATTTTCGACCATATCTTTATGGAAGAAAATTTACGTTAGTTACGGATCACAAACCATTAGTTTGGTTTCAAAATTCAAAAGATCCTTGCTCAAGAGTAACAAGATGGAAGCTGAAACTAGCTGAGTACGATTTTCATGTTGTCTACAAAGCAGGCAAAACCAATGTTAATGCTGATGCCTTATCCAGAAACCCAGTCGAAGATATTATTGAAGAAAAAATCCAAGGAATAAAAGAAGAAGAAATTGAAAAAACCCAGGAAAATCAGGAAAACATAATGAAATGTGTGCAAGAAAAAATTAAAGAATATATACATTGTGTAGCAAACGAAAATAAAAACTATATGAATTCGGAGATAATAAAAAATCTCCATGATATTGAAAGAATATTTGAAGATAATAAATCCTATGAAAATTCGGATATATTAAGAACTTTTCGATCTATTAAAAAAATATTTGAGGACAATGAATCCTACATGAATTTTGAGATAAAGAAAAGTCTCCAATCTATTGAAAGAATATTTAAGGACAATGCATCCTATTTGAATTTGGAGATAAGAAAAAGTCTCCCATATATGGAAAAAATAATTATTGACAATGAATGCTACATGAATTCGGAGATAATAAAAATTCTCCAAAGTATTAAAAGAAATTATTGTACAAGTGACGAAACTTGTAACGTTATAACCAGAAATCAAAGAAAAATACAAGAAAATGATAATCAAGAAAACAAAAATGAAGAAATCCAAGAATTTGAAAATGAAATAATAAATGCACATAAAACAAAGAAACGAGGTAGACCGAAGAAACAAAGCACACGTTTGAATACCTCCTTTTCCAAGAAGAGAAGGGGAAGACCAAAACAGGTTTATTAAACAAAAATCAAAATTGAAGAAACACGAAGAAATAGATCAAGGCTACGAAAATTCCAATTCTGAAGTATCATCTGAAGAAGAAGATAATTTAGTAGAGAACGAAGATTGTGAAAATTTAAATGTAAAACAAGAAAGATATATTATCGACTGTAGAGACCAATTACCAATGCGTAGAGACAACCTAACCTACTTTCTTTCAGTCAATGGAGATCCTCGAGATAATGGCTCCAGATCACTTGCCAAACGTGAGAAATTGCCAAATTTTGGTAAACTTCAATTAGGTATAGCAGAAAAAAAAGAGAGGTATATATTACCATATCGCTCTCCTTATAGAAAATGAAATAAAAGAAAATTTATCTGATACAATAAAAAGAATTAAAACTACAATTATTTCAATGAAAAATTTATGCGAAGAATTAAAATTAAAAAGCATAAGTATTGCAAAGACAGCCCAAATAAATAATATAACTTGGGACGAAATCCTGTCAATGATAAAGTTAATTTTTGAAAATTCATTTGTAAAAGTTGTTGTATGCAGTGGACATACAAAATATCCCACAAAAGAAGAATATATGCAGTTAATTGAAGAAGCTCATTCAAGTTCAGTTGGAGGACATAAAGGTGTAACCAAAACTTATGGAAGAATACGACAAAATTATTAAATTGGGAAAATATGAAAAATAATATTCAAAAATATATACAAAGTTGCCTCCAATGTCAATTAAAAAAATTAGTTAGAGTAAAAACAAAAGACCCAATGATTAACCAGGTACAGCATTCGAGAAAATAGCAATGGACATCGTTGGACCATTACCAAAAACTAAAAATGGGAGTGAATATATATTAACAATACAAGATAATTTAACTAAATATTCATTAGCAATTGCACTTCCAAATCATCAAGCAAGTACAATAGCTGATGCATTTATTAAAAAATTTATTTGTATTTTTGGATCACCCAAAGGAGTATTAACAGAACAGGGGACAGATTTTTTAAGTAATTTAATGAGAAGATTAGCAAAAAGATTTAGAATACGACAATTTAAAACAACCGCTTTTCATCCCCAGTCTAACGGTTCAATCGAAAGATCTCATCACGTTTTAGGAGAATATTTAAAACAATTTATCAATAAAAATGAAGAATGGGATGATTGGTTAGAATTAGCCATGTTCTCATATAATACAAGCATTCATGAAGGCACCAAATGCACCCCGTACGAGTTAATTTTTGGAAAATTAGCGCGATTGCCATCAAGCGATCCACCACTTGAACATGAAAAATTGGAGACTTACGATCAATATTTAACAGACTTAATAACGAGACTTCATGAAATGAGAAACATTGCTAGAGAAAACTTGATTCTAGCAAAAGAAAAGTCAAAATTTTATTACGATAGAAATTGTAATCCACAAAATCTTAAACTCGGTGATGAAGTATTTCTACTACACGGAGGAAAAATTCATAAATTTGCAAATCAATATACAGGACCACATAAAATATTAGAAATTTTAAATAAAGGAAACGTTAAAATACAAGTTAAAAATAAACAAAAAATAGTACAAACAAACAGACTTAAACTATCACGAATTAAACAAGAGTAATAAAACTGGATTATTTTTTTTATAAAAATAACTATTTGTATAAAATTATTCCTAGTTTTATGTTTCAGAAAAGGACTAAAAAATTGAGTTATTTTTACTGAATTCAATTTTTATAACTGATAAACAAAATTTTTAATTATATTTTTTCACTATAATAATAATCTAATTGAAAAAAATACTTCTTTAAAAAAAATTCGCAAATTTAAATTAAATTTTTATAAAATTTCGACAATTTTTTTTTAATTTGTAATGACTTTATCTTAGATCTTAAGCACAATTCTACATACTTATTTTGCACTAAAAGAAATTGAAACTCAATTTTTTCACACAGTAAATTAAACTTTGTTACTTATTTTATACCAATTTATTGAAGAAGAAACTAAAAATGTCATTATTCAAAATTCTATTATCAAAATAAAATTATTTAAAATTCGTTCTCAACACATATTAAATTATGTCCAAATGTAGCATGAGAACAAAAGAAAACTGCATAAATGTAACAACTAAAAGCAACAAAATATAAGAAATAAAGACACATTTTAAAAATTGTTAAATCTGAAATATAAAATGCGTCTTAAATATAAAAATTTAATATTTTCCATCTGTAAAATTAAAAGTACAAAATTTTGTTTCAGAAATGTAAAAGAAAAATATTGTATTCTATTGTCATATATTATTTGCATATTGATTACTATACAAATGTACACTATGTATTTTGAAACTGTAACAATCCAAGAAAGGAAAGTAATACTATTACTCATGTAAAAAGAATAACGATGAAGCGACAATTCGACAACCTTCTAAAAACGTAGGCCGGACGAAAGAAAGTAAAAGCAGCAAACCCCGAGAAGTTTAGGTGAACAACAAACGCCGAGAAACTTAACGAAAGGGCGATACGTACAATCTCCCGGAGGAAATATCAACAACGCATAGAGAAATTCTTTCGCTATTAACTAGCACAAGGAGAAACAAATTTTAGCAAGTGTACAATTTTTCGGCATCATTACAGTTATGAAAATCTAATATAAAAAGAGCAAGCAGTTTCATTCAGCAGAGAGTAATAATTTGAAAGCCAACCTTATAACATCTTCAGTACAGAGAGTAATAATTTGAAAGCCAACCTTATAACATCTTCAGTACAGAGAGTAATAATTTGAAAGCCAACCTCATAACATCTTCAGTAGAGAGAGTAATTTTTTGGGAATCAACCTGTACACATCGTAAAACCATCGCTCTAGTATAAAGAGTATATCATCAACGAGTGAATTATATCTTCAAGTTTTTATTTTTGAAACGAAGTTCGAATCACTGATTTAAAGTACAACTTAATAATTTCCAAAAATATATTAAATTGGAAATAAACCCAAGTATCAACGAAAGTATAATATTGAAACGCAGTTCCAAGTTTCAACAAATCTTTTATTGAAGTATTACACATTTCGAACCATCGAAATTTGTTCAAGAGGCGACAACTGTCTGGAAGAAAGCAGATATTTTCAAAATACAATACACTATCTCATTAGTGTAAACAAGAGGATCAACACTCAACCATTAAGGACAACTGTCACAGCCCCAGTGCGTCTAGCCCTCAACACCATTAGAGATCGGACAAGCAGATACAACCACCAGTTCAAACAACACCAGTAATCGTTATTCTTTAAAAGTAAGATTTTCTAAACTCAATTATACTCATTGTATTTTGTCAATTCTTTTCTTTCTTGTTGGTTTTTAAATAAATTATTCTCTGAGTACATTTAGTAGGCTCATTGACTTATCCTCATCCCAAATTAGATTCATTTATGAAACTAATTTAAAACAAGGAACGTTAGGAATATTTAAAAAGGTTTCTTGTTGTTTTTGACGTAACAGTATTCATGTTTCTTAATGCGGAGATTAATAATTAAAATTGTTATTAGTTAATTTAAAAAGATATACACACATAACATTTTTTAATAAAATTGAATTTTTACAAAATTTTTTTTAAATTCTGCAAAATAAGATTTTTGTAATTTTTCGACTCTATTATTTCAAGATAACTGAATTTTTATAAACAAATAATTCGAAATTCTTGACGTAATTATAATTGTAATGATATTATTACAGAATAAAGAAAACCTCACTGATTTTAATGATGGAGATGATGCAGAGGAGACAGCATCTGCATTATCGACTGGGGACAAATCTCCAAACGGCAAAAATAATAGTCAGCAGGTAGTAAACATTATGATAATAATAATACCAATAAATATCAATAAATAATTAATAACTATTCTAAGGGTGTCTATTAACCGGGAATTTAATTTGACCGGTAAAGTCCAGGAAAAAACCAAGAATTTAATGCCAAACCGGGAATTTTTTTACCAAATTAAAAAAAGATTTATAATTTTAATTTGTTTTTAAAAAATCGCATTTATTTTAATTTTTATAGATAACATACCGTTCTCTAAATTTGAATTAGTTAAAAATAATTAATTTGACAGTAAAAAATCAGTCACTGATTGAAATATAGGATGTAAATAAACTTGAAAAAAATTATCCAATCAATAAAAATTTTATGAAATTCAATTGAAAAACAATTAAATTTGTTAAAGAATTTCATTAAAAAGTTTTGAAAAAACGAATTTTCAAATTATTAAATTAATTAAAATTTTATTTTTAAAAATTTCTTCACAATATATATTCAATTACTTTCATAAATAGTAAAACTCGTAGCAAAAATTCAATAATAATTATTTTTTAGAAAAAAATTCTTCCTCAGAATTTTCGAAACTAAAATTATCTTTCTAAATAATTAAATTGTTCTCCACAATTTAATTATTTTCAAAAATTTTAATTAAATTTTACGCAAACAGTTAATTATTTTAATAAATATCTAATAATATTCTTTGGAAGGATTCAATTACTTATATAATTAGTAAAATCGATGTCTTCATGTTTTATTACAATTAAAGATGACCGAGTGATAAAATCATTATTTTATATTATAAGACTTTATAAAAAAAATTGGCAAGTAATTGAATTTTGCAGAATAATTTTGATATTTACAAAAATAATTGAAATTTTAAGAATTTTAAAAAATTTTCCAAAATAATTGAATATCTGTGAAGAATTTTCATACTTTTGAAGATAACTGCATTTTGAAAAGAATTTTATCAGAACTTTTGAAAATAATTAAATTTCCAGGATGAATTTTATTATTTATGAAGATAAATAAAATTTTGACGAGGAATTTTAAAAAAAATTTGAAAATAATAGAATTTCTAGGATGAATTTTTTTATTTATAAAGATAATTGAAATTTTGACAAGAATTTTATTATTACTAGCGACATGTACCTCACTCGCTAACGCTCGTTCGGTTGTATTTAAACTCATTTGTTTTTACTTATTTATTTTTATTTCTTTGAACTAAGTAAATATTTACTGGACATAAATATTTTAATTTATGGTATCAAATAAATAGTTATTTGAACCAAATACAAATTACTTAAGTCAATTAAATGGAATAATTTGATCTAATAAATATTGCTTTAAATCAATTATGAAAATTATTGGATTCAATAATGCATATTATTATTAGATTTTCACGGCAGCAAATGCTGACTGAGTATAGAAAAATTGTTCACGACGCTCTTTGCCAACATTGCTTTTTTGACATAAACTTGAAAAAAATTATAAAAAATGTTTATGAATGTTTATAAACATAAATTTATTGAATAAAATTAATATTTTACTTTTCAGTTATTCATTTTTTATTTTTATTTAATTTAATAATAATTTAACATAATTGTCTAATTTTATAAATAATAAATTATTTAAACAAATTAAAATTATAAACAAAATTTAAACTTTAATGTCAACAATAATTTGGTTCTTATTAAAATACTATTATACTTCTAACTATGAATAAAAAATTATTAAAAATTACCACTTGTAAAATGTTAAATGCAATAAGTAAAGTTATTTAATTCTATTATTAAAAATTTAGTTTTTTATTACCGTCAACCGGGACTATTTTGTGCACCAAATAGCTTTTTTTTATTTAAAGATTTATTTAAATTCAGAATTAAGAGAATAAAGAAAATCAACTTTTGATGTATGTTGTGGACATCCTTCTGAAGGTTTCCTATAAATTTTGCAAAGAAAAAAATTTTTTTGTCTTAGTTATAGTCATTGAAAGTCGTGCACACAATAACTCCCGGGATGGGGCTATTCTGTGCATCGAACTTTGTTTTTCTATAATGTTGCGTAAACAATTTTTTTAATCGTTTCTGCTTTATGAAATCTTTTGTGTATATATTTGAGAGTAAATTAAAAAAAGAATGACCTAGTAAAATTTTTTTTGTAGATATATTGTACAAAAAATGTAAAATAAAGCACTAAACTTTTGCTAAAATCTGGATTTACTAAAAGTTAACAATCTTTCTTTAAATTGTATATTACGCAGATATTAAATAACATTTTCTTCTTTTTTAATATATATTTTATAATAATATACTAATATAATTATAAAATGATCGTTTAAACACTTATAAATAACTTTAAAACATCATTTCAATAGGAGCTTTTTTAATGGTTTTGAATGATATTTTTAAATAACTTGAAATAAATATTTTTAAGGTTAAATAGATAAGAATTTAATATCTAATATGATTTTCAAGTTATTTTAAGAGAAACGAGAAAATAGTTTTAAAACTAATTTTAAAAACTTATAAATATTAATTAATGTTCATTTTTTGAGGTTGCGTTGTGCACCGGTAGAGCTTTTAATCGTTTTAATGATTTTAATTAACGTATTTACAGTTTTTTGACAGAAAAGTAAGACAAAAATGTATAAAAATGATAAACAGAATCTTCTTTACTTACTAAATAAAATATTTATGAAAAATATTTTATTTTTTTAAGTGCACAAAATAGCCCCATGGAATCCTGGTTTTTCAGTTTTTTCCACTTTTCTCTTAAAATAATGAATAAAAAGTTAGCGCATTACGTATGTATCATCACAACACAATTGAAAACAAATATCTAACTCAGTTTATGAGATACATAAAAACTCTAGAAGATCTGGTATAATTTTTCCGAACTTTCAAAATTTTTGACACAAATTTTCCGTTTTTAGGAATTTTTTTCTCTTAATTGCCAAAGAATTAAATAATAACATTTAGTGCTCTCTATTGTCATGTAATAAAACTTTCATTTCACAAAATAGCAGATTAAAATAATTCATTTTAATAATTTTTTTCATTAAAAAACTCGCGTGCACAAAATAGCCCCCGGATGCACAAAATAGCCCCAGTTGACGGTATTTCTAACGTATCTTTTTTTTCTCATCTTTGATTCAAAAATTGTAAGTCTAAATGATACTGAGATGTTAAGGCAATGTTTCACCGTAATATTAATATAGTATTCCAAGGTAATGTTGAATGAATATTAAGGGAATATTCCCTGAAAATATTCCAAAATTTCATACTTTGAAAAAATTTGACTTTTTTTCTCTTTATCTTCTTTTTTTTAGTAAAAACGAATTCAATGGTATTTTCAACATATTAAATATTAGCTGGGAACATTCCCTCAACATCACCCTGGAATATTCCATTAATATTACGGTGGAACATTCCTTCAACATCATCCTGGAATATTACTTCGATATTACCATGGAACATTCCCTAAATGTTATCTTGGAATATTCCTGTGCGGCAGACATTTTAATATTACTTTAAGATCTTTAGAACATTCCACTGGAATATTCCCAATATGAAATGCATTATTCCCTTCAATTTAAGGTACTACTACACATTAGAATTTAAAAAAATTTTATTTTTTTTATTGTATTTTTTAACTCCTTATGGCTTTAGAAAACACCTCCTAAAGTATTTAAAACCAATTGTAAAAAATAAAAGTAAATTTTTCAAAAAATATTCAATTAATGTAAAAAGTCATTGACAAATTAAGTAAGGCTTTAAGGGGATGGTGGGGTCCAGCTTTTTGTTACGACCAGTAGAAACATTGGTACTAATGTATGTAACAGTGTCTGAAATAAAAAAAATGGTGGTGTTTCAATTTGCAAAAGAATTTTAGGTAATTTATGGATGGCCTCTAACGATACATATAAGTTTAAACGCGTTTTTCTCAAAATAACGTTTTCTCAAATTGCGGATAGTTTATCTCTGAATCTACTAAACCGATTTTAATAAATAATAACTCGTTTTGTTTGTTAGCATGTCCTGTGTGAGAATTTACCAGAAAATGGTCAAAAAATTAAAAAAAGACATTTTTGCAGACTAGAAAAATACTGAAAAACCTAGTGTATTTTGACAAAAATTATTCAAACATCTGCTATTTTTTTATTTTAGTCCATTTTTCATTAATGGTGGTAGATTTCTACACGGAGAAAAATGAAAAAATGATTTATGCAGTCAGTGTAGTACTCCTTTATAGAATAATATGTGACAGGTACACACTATAGTATTAGAAGTTTCATAGCTAAACACTTTGGGACTCAACACAAGTTATTCCATTCATCAGCTTAAACAAGACTGTTTATATAGTCTAAGAGGGAATAAGAGTATACAAAATTGGAATGAGAAATTACTTTCTCACGTAATTGTTAAAAGAACGCGGCAGTGTACAAAACACAAGTCAATAATAGAAGCGAATATTGAACAACTAGTACTCAGTCCAGTTCTTTCGAAAAATGAACGCCGCGTGCACATAAAGTAGATACCTACTCGAAAACCACAAGTTATTCTCTCTCTCTCACACTAATGGTCGTTCACTTATTTTACCGTTTCACTTAGAGCAAGTTTCACCAACTTCCGATTAAAAGTTAATCAATGATTAAAGACAGTTTAAAGGCTTCTGATTGGTTAATTGAGGATTTAATCATTGATTAACTTTTAATTGGTGTTGGTGAATTCGGCCCTTACTCTTACTACTCTCAACTATTATGCAGTGCAATTAAGTTAATTAAATTATTGAATATTGCTGTGAGAATAATTAATTATACATGTCATTCAAGGTCAATTCACTATTTTGTACACGTAAAAAAAAGAATAATCACATTTACCATGAAGAGTCTTAAACTTGAAAAAAGTTAAGAAAAAATTAATGTTTTTTATTTATTTATTATTAAATTCTAATAACCGTATCAAATTTAAACTAGTTGACAATATTATTTATTCAATATTATGAATATTGTTGACATTCATACTTA